TTTTATGGATTAAAATCACAAGAGCTTCTAATGGTTTTTCATTGTCTCAATCTCATTATATTGAGAAAATATTGAAAAGGTTTAATTATTTTGATGTAGCTCCCATAAGAACTCCTTATGATCCTAGAATACATTGGGAGGAATCGGTTCCCTTCCGTTCGCGTTATTGGAGGCGCCTGACGATGCTTGTTTTAACTTCGTCATCACCTGATCCTGCCTTGTGGGGTGTTTTATGATTTCTTTCTGTTGTTCTCTCAGGATTTTAACCGTTTCCTCGACATGTTCCTCCTCTTCATCATATGGAGTAGGTTCCTGCATATGCCGAGGACACTGGCCCTCTCGAACTGGGTTCGTCTCATCCCCTTCATTGCAAGTCTCGTTGATTGAGTCATCATGTTGGGACAATTCCTCGTGCCCCTCAACGTTGTGTGTGATGTTGACATCATTAGCTGCCATATTTTTTTTCACTAAGGAAAGAATCAAAACAAGTTAGTTATAAATGTATGGATCAAAGCAATCACGCAACTGTCTAATCCCCATAGTGGGCGCTAAATTATTTACCCACAAAATAGTACACAATTAAATTTGTTAAGTGGTTTATAGACAAGAGAATTAATTTGATCCAAAAATGATAAAGAGATAAGATTAAAATTGAGATTTAGCGATTGAAATTGAAGAAGATAAAAAGCCTGGCTCCAAACTCAGCGTCTTCGAGAGCACAAACGGAAATAACGACAAAGTGAAAGAAAGTTGTTAATTTCAGAGCGAAATAGTAAAATATAGCCTTTGCTGTATAGAATATTCGTGTCTTTATAATGGCTACTGAGCCTGCTATTTATAGCTTTACCTAGGGAAACAAGATCATAGGATCAAGCTTCTCTGAATGATAATAAAAGAGTCATTAATGAACGCGTAAGGCAGGCCATGAAAGCAAATATTCTCTGTATGGTCGCTCATTTAATGTTAGTGAACATTCCCTCATTGAATGCTATCCGATGACAAACCCTTGACCTTCTCCCGTCGGCTACGCTCCCTTCGGGATTTACCCGATATCGATTACATTCGTTGTATCTAGTATTGGTTGTTTCCTGACTTACCCTATGCCTATCTTCGATTCCACGTGTCATGTTACCATTCGCCCATCCGTTAAAAACCAATTTTACCCTACAGACCCCCACTTTGTATCTGCGAAGCACCAACACCAGCTATCCTCCCCAACATTAAAATGGACATAACTCCGTGATACAATGTCCAAATTCGACGATTCTTTTTGCTATAGTTCCGTAATTACGATACGGATCTAACGCTTCAACAAAATAGGATTTAGAGCTCATTTTCTTAGTGTGATCCCATTTATGCTTGAAGAAACAACGTCGAAACATCAAATATGAACGCAATACAACTCAAACCTATTTGAAACTCATCCGAGCCCCTCGAGACCCGTCCGAACATACCAATAAGTTACAAAACGTAACACGAACTTGCTTGATGCCTCAAAACCCACATAAAAATATCAAAACCATGAATCGCACCTCAAATCAAGGCTAATGAACTATTTCAAGTTTTCAAATTCCAAATTTACGTGGAACACGTTTAAACAACTCGGAATTACCTCAAATTTTGTGCACAAGTTCCAAATGAGATAACAAAACTCTTCCAACTCCCGGAACAACAATCCAAACCCGATAATATTGAAGTCAACTCCTATTCAAACCTATGAACTTTTCAAACCTTCAAATTGCTAACCTTCGCCAATTAGAGCCAAAACTTTCTAGAAATATCAAAATGCAAATCTGGGCATATGTCCAAGTACAAAATGACCATCCGGGCCTAATGAAAACATCAAAATTCTAATCCGAGATCAAATACATAAAAGTCAAACTTGGTTAACTCTTCTAATTTAAAGCTTCTAAAATGTGAATCATTCTTCCAAATCAATACGAACCACTCAAAAACCAAAACCGATCATACACGCAAGTCATAATACATCATGTGAAGCTATTCAAGACTTCAAACAACCTAATGGAATGCAAATGCTCAAAATGACTGGTCGGGTCGTTACATTCTCCTCCACATAAACATATGTTCGTCCTTGAACATGCTAGGAGTCGTTAAAGCCATCAAACCACTGCATAACTCACCATACACATACCCTTGGGTGATCCCACATCACCCCAATCTATATAAGCCAAACATCATAACCTAACTAAAGATCCCTACTTCAACCTTAGTCCATAAACCTTAGAACCCAATCTCCAACATCCGGAATTCATTATAAAACCCGATTCTCGCATCAATACACTGAATAAGTCTGAACAAGTTGTATCAAGTCATAACTATAACCCAAGATGCAATCACATAATATACCTCATAACTCAGGGATGTAATAACGCATAGTCCACGGCTCAACAATAATGTATGCAAGAGTCTCAACAACAACACAAAGAAATGGGAGATGATACTCAACAATGAAAGATATTTCCATGAAATCGCAACTTCAACTCAAATGCATAACATAAACTCAACAATAAAAGAGATAGAATGTAATAACAACTACGACTAAATGCATGGGAATAACTCAACAATGAAAGAGATAACATGTAATAACAACTACGACTAGATGCATGAGAATAACTCAACAATGAAAGAGATAACATGTAATAACAACTACAATTAGATCCATATAAGTAACCTAAGAGTCAAAACCGACTAATTTCCATATATAAGCCTGTGTACATACTCATCACCTCATGTACATGTCTTCCACATAATTCAAATACTGCAATTAAGCTCAATCCTACGGGGTAGTTCCCCCACACAAAGTTAGGCAAGATACTTACCTCAACTAGGCCAAATCAACACTCAAAAATAGCTTTTCTTTTAAAATTCGCCTCCGCACGGCTCAAATGTAACCAAAATTGATTAATACCAATTTCGATTAATAAAGCTAAGATTTTTACACAATTTCTCAAAAGTCAAACAAAAGTTAATCCCGGCCTGCCGGGTCAAAACCCGAGTCCAATAGTACATCTTGACTACCCATAACCCCACGAGTCTATATATGTATTTTATTTTCAAATCCGAGTCCAATTCGACTTTCAAATCTCAGAGAAAAAAAATCAAAACATAGACAAAATTTTCCAAAATTTCTCTTCAAATTTTATGGATTAGAGGTTAAATTTCTCAAATAATCATGTAATATAATTGAAAATTGATCAAAATCACTTACTCAATAGTTGTAGGTGAAAATCCCTCCTCAAAATCGCTTCCTAACGAGTCTAGGGTTCTAAAATATGAAAATGCAATAGTCATTAAATGGTTGAGATGAAAACTCTGCAACATTATCAAGGTGAATAAACTTGATCAGGTATCAAGAAACTGTGCCCATAATCGAATTATTTGTGCCAATAATTTCGTAAACATGAGGTTACGAGATGACAATAGGCACACATGATACCATCTAGAAGAAGCATATATTAGAATCTTAAAATATCTAAACGACCTACTCGGTAGGTGAATAGGTCCATAAGTATTCCCATGTATACATTCCAAAAGTACATAGGGCTTAATCTCAACATTTGTTGGTGATGGTCTAATAGTTAGCTTGTTTTGATAACAAGCAGTACAAGAAACTTTAGTATTTAAAAGAATCTTCAAGTTCTTACTAGATGCCCATTTGATTTTTCTATAACTCGTCTCATCATTATATATCTAGAATATCTCAATCGGTCATGGCAAAGTACAAAACTATTGGAATATGTAAACTTTTGATTTACAATAGATACCTCAATTACCTAATCTTTGTCCAATATAAGCCAAAAGACAAAGCATGAACTTTTCTATAATATATTTCTAGTCAGGATATTCTTGATGATACCAAGGTATTCAAGATTCATCTCATCCATTATTTCAATATGATATATTTCGACGGATATTGTTAAAGCTCAATAAGTTCCTTTGGCTTTAGAAGAGAACATGACATTGTTTAAAATGAGTTTTGTTCCCTTGGGCAAAATTATGGTAGCTCTTCTGGAGCCTTCTATCAAATAAATACTATAAAAGATTATAGTAACATTTGCCTTACTCATAAGTAAATGAGAAAAATATTTTTTCTCTTTAAATGTCGTATGTGTTGTAGCAAAATAATTCAAATAAATATCTTCATAATTGGATTTTAATGTAAACTACTCTGAGATATTTTCGTATCTTCAAAATGCAATGACACACCCAAATAAAGGTAACAATAAATATTACTACTATTGATTGAATAATAGAGGAAAATGACATAACTTTTAATTTTTCAACCTACAAACACATAGTAAAGATTAATAGACATAGGTAATTATACGAGTAATCTAGAAAGTGACGATTCTATAGGCATATTTTCGTATTCATCTCTACTTTATGTTTTGGTCTAATTAAGATACAAAAAATAATTATTTTCACTCCAATCCAGAAACGTGAGAGGGTAACAAAATTTAGTCAACAAAAAAACAATCGAACTCAAACCATCAATGAGATATTTTATTTAATAAAAACGAGAATAGACTAGAACTTAATTTATAAGAACTACACTGATATGACTAAACTAATTAGTATTAACTGATAGGCTAATACTATGATTGTTTAACCAAAAAACTGAATATTTGGTTAAAGCTAGAAATTAAGAGAGAAATCGGGTTACTGATAATCAAGAAATATGAAATTTTGAGAACAACAATAAAGTAATGAATAAGTGTATATTTTAGTATAATCTCAATGATATTCCGTGTCCTACAGATGTTGAGACCTTCCCCTTTTATAGTTAATTCTAGGAGAAAGTGTAATGCATTTGTCTTAATGAGGCAATTATGAACAATAAATGATATTAAAAGAAACGTTACTCAATCATTCCTATTAAATATAAATTCTCTCAACGTATTTGGTATTTAATGCTGAATTTGGACTCCTTTACGCTATCAGATTCATTTCTTCAATTCCTTCCGATCTTCGAGCTTTAAATGACTCGAACAGGTACGTGTCTCATTTCATTTAAATAATAGCTCGTACCTTTAAGTATGTTCTCTCCCACATCTGTTGTTGCTCGTGCCTTCTAACTGATTACCACGCTTTGACTATTTGACCGGTCCACGTGTCATGACACGCCATCTTATATAAATTCAGTTTTTCCCAATACAGATAGTCCCCCCACTTTCCATTTATTTATCAATTAAATATTTGGAAAGTGGATCTTCATTAAAAAGTGAATTTTTGCCATAATTAATGCTATGACAATACTAACGCTTCAGTTGTCTTTTCTATTTAATGCATTGCATACGTGTCACCTTTCAAGGCTTCTTCAACTCCACTATTCACGAAGTGATAGTTGCCTTTATTATAGACTTTCTATCATTACACTTCTTAGTCTTTGACTGTTGCTTTTATATATAAACTTAACCCTTCTTCCACTAATTTTTACCAAATATTTCACTATTTACTCCTATTCACTTCTTCCTCTGTTCACATCTTTCTACCATGTCATCTTCGAATCCCAACCCTAGGAGAGTCCCAATTCTTGACAGTTTCCCCAATGCCCCTGTGAGACACAGAAGAGGTAGAGGAGGTAGGCTTCGTGGCCTAGGATCCATTCGTGGTGGTACCTCTGGTTCCATCACTCCTTCTTCTAGCTCTGGCACTATTTCTAGAGGTTCTTTCACTAATAGATCCTCTTCTAAAGGCAAAGAATCTTCTGAGTCTATTCAAGAACCATTGGTCGAAGAAATAGTGCCAATCGACTTATCTTTCGATCATGATAAAGAATCCCTTCGTGACCAAGTAATTAAGTTAGAGAGAGCTGACACCTATCCTTCTTTAATTACTGAACCCTTGATTCCACTGTTCGAAAAGATTGTCGTTGGAGGGATGACTTTCATATAGTTATTCCTAACCCAAACCAGAGAATATCTTCTTATAGGATTGGTTTTTCCTCTGTTTATACTTATCCCTTTACTTTGGGATTTATTCCTGCTATAGACTCAGTCATACTCGATTTCTGTCGTTTCTTCAAAATTTGTTTGGCTCAAGTTGGCCCTCTCGTATGGAGAGCAGTAGCTTGTTTAAGGTATGTATCAGTAAAGGCTGATGTTGACTTTACCTTCTCCCATCTAATTCATCTTTACCACCCCAAGCTGTTCCGCAATGGTGTTTTTACCCTAACTGCAAGAAGTAAAAGGGTTTTGGTAAGCCCTGAAGATGATAAAGATCGAGGCTGGTACACCCGTTACGTTGCGGTACCCACAATTGGTTTGGTGGGTGAATCAAATATTCCCTTTCCTGAGAAATGGAACCTTGCACGTAAGCATTTCTTCCTTACCGTATCTGTTTTTTTTTTATTTCAACTCCTTTTATAATTTCATTTTTGCTTTTTTGTAGCAACCATGGGAGATGTGGAACCCGTTCCTAATTTCCGTGGTTGGGTAGATGCTATTTTGAAAGCCGTGCCTATGGAGGCACGAACCTGGAAATCTATTTCCAACAAACATGGTTGGAAAGTAAAAACTCATGGTATGCGTCCCTTATTATTTCCCGTATGTTAAATTCTTTCCCCTCTTTTAACTTTTTATCCTTCTTTTTGTCAGGATTTGCTATTCGAGGAATGTCAGCTGAAGTAGCTATTGCCCTTCGAGCCTCTTTTGGTACTCCTCTTTCTTTGGAGAGAGCACAAGCTACACTGTCAAAGAGGAAAGTTGTTGAAGAGGATTCTGAGGATGATGGAGATGAAGACACCTCTTTGATAGCTAGACCTAGAGCCAGGAGACGCATCATTTCCGAAGATGAAGCTGAAATTTCTCCTGCCCGTGCCTCCTCTCTTACCGAACCTGTTACTGTTGTTTCTGATGATGAAACCATTCCTAGGAACACCAATGAATCCAATCAACGTCTCTTTGCTGACGGTTTCGAAAGTGGTGAACTAGGTCCGGTTTTAGATGAAGTTCCTCTTTCCTCTTCCATTCCTATTCCTTCTATTCCTCCTTTGGTTTCAAGTGCTTCTTTGCCCATTTTATCTGTTCCTGCTTCTTTGCCAATTTCTGCTCCCTTACCTGCTTCGACTCCTTCTTCGACTCCTGTTATTTTTACCTCTTCTACCATTCCTCCTTCTATAGCTCCCCCTTCCTCTGTTCAGCATGCAGAGGAGGGTTCCAGTAGAGGAAGTTTGGCTATGAGGAGTGTAACACTTGAGGTTCCTGCTAATAACAGTCTTTTAAGGAAGTCTGGTGGAGCAGATGTCTGGCTTGAGCCTTTAATTGGAGACAATGAGAAGAAGAAGATGGACAGTCACAGTTGCTTAACTTTGATGAATGACATAGTTCATTCTACGTTAAAGGTATTCTTCCTTTACTTTCTAATAAGTTTTTTTTATCTCTAGATTCTTAAGTTTTTTTTTTATCTCTAGATTCTTATTTTCATGAGTTGTCTTTGTAGGCCAACCTCATTGGCACGGAATTGATGGGAAGAGTTTCCCTTTTAGAAAAGAAGGCCTGTGAGTCTGATAAGACTATTCTCGAGGCTGAGAGGGTAGCTAAGGAAGCCCAGCTGGAAGCAACTAATTGGAAGGAACAGTTTCAAAATGCTCAAGAAACGATAAAAGAATTGCAAGAAAGCAACCGTAACCTGGAGCAGCAAAAGCAGACTCTGACTTCTGAATTAGCGGGAGCCAAGGCTTCTTCTAGTAAAGCCGAGAAGGATAAGGAGCGCCTTGAGTGTTCCTTTTCAGAGCAGTTATCAAAGTCAAGTGAAGAAATCAGAGAACTTAAGGCACTCTTGAACAAGAAAGAAGAGTATGCAGGAGAGTTAGTACAAAACTTGACTCAAGCTCAAGCTGATTTGAAAATCTCCTCTGATAAGGTTCATGCCTTAGAGAGTTCTCATGCCTCCCTTGAAGCTACCCTTGATTCCACTTTAGTTGAAAATCAAGTGTTAAAGAATGATCTTGCTATGTGGGAAAGGGATTATGAACTTCTTGAGGAGAAATTTAACATAGAGGTGAGTTGGGCTTTTCTAAACTCTCGTCATGATGCTTTAACTGAGGCTAGTCAAGAAAACTTTGATTTAGAATCGGAATTGGCCAAGGTTTTGAAAACCATTGAGATGACCTAACAACCACTTGACTTTCCTTCTCCGGCAGATGAAGCTCCCGTGGCTGAAGAACCTTTAAATGAAGAAGCTGCTGCTGTGGCAGTTGAAGTTGAAAATGTTGCAATTCCAGCTCCCGAGGGTGAAACTTCTATGAATCAGTTTGAGGAAGCTGAAGCTTCTGTGACTCTTACTCCCCTCGATGAATCTAACACTTCAATCCCAGCTGAAACCGCTCCTGTTGCTGTTTATTCAGAAGTTACCGTTCCTGAAAGTGAAGCTGATATCACAACTTCTGATGTTCCAGCCCCTCAGTGACCAGTTTATGTTTTCAAACTTTATTTTTATTTGCTTTGTTGATTGGTGGGTTTATCCCTTGGTCAGTTTTTAAGGGATTTTTTAGAAAAAGTCCCCAGTTATCATAATGGGGCACTTGTATAAACTTTTTTTTTGTTGACTAAGTTTTTACTTAGTCTTTTTAACTATATCAAGAAGTTTATTAGTACTTCAATATGTTCTATTCTTGCCTTTTTCTTATCTATTTAGGACTTATAGAATAGTTTAGCATTTTTAAACTTTGAAAATGCTTTATGATTCTTCTCATGACTTATTAACATGAGGCTTATAAAAGAGGGCCCTTTTATATATAACGACACTTAATGAAGAAGACGTCTCAACTTCATAATGGTGTTACAATACGATGAAAGAAATAGGAACACACATGTTTTGTTCGGAATAACTTTGACAAGTTTTTGAATATTACATGTATTAAAATACATCTATAACTTTCTCGTAACTGTTTTTCTTGTAACAGATTTTTACAAAATAAATATAATTCAAACAAGGTTTTTCCTTATAACCCGTTTCAGTATATAGTCATGACCCTATCTTCATGTATTAGGAAGGGTTTGAGAGGTGACTCCATTGTTCTCATGAGTTTGAGAGGTGACTCCATTGTTCTCATGAGTTTGAACACTATGATGAATGTTTTGTATCTTCATTTGTTTTGATGGGAAAGAACACAATGATGAATGCTGAGGTTCCGTAACTTCTGCTCGACACTTGTCTCTTTGTGGCTTGATTTTTTCGATTTTCGTTCGGTTTACGTATCTGTTTTCCCGCACGTATCTGTGTACAATATGCAGTCCCCCAAGTGTTTGAGCGGTGAAGTATGAAGCCTCGAGCACTTGTAAGTTTCTCTCAATTTGGTCCTTTTCCTGAAACAGAAAAACATACGGGACTCGGAGATGCGATTAGAGATGAAGACTACCTAACCCGTGTGTATTTCCATCAGAGTAATTGTAACCCTGGGCTGGGAATTTTAGAATATTCCATTTTGCCGTGCAGGTCGTGACTCATCATTTGGCACGGGTAAGGGTTTTTGCCTAGCATCTAAAATCGTTAGTAAAATTTTAACAATTCAAAGAAAAATTTTAACATAGCGATACCTGACCATGGGTACTTTCTCAAAAGTAATATCTCTTTAGGTGGACAGCATTCCAATGTGAGGGTAGAATTTTCCCATCCATTGTCTCTAACTCATATGCTCCTTTTCCCGTAATATCACAAACTCTGAAGGGTCCTTCCCACGTTGGACTTAGCTTTCCTGAATTAGCGGCCTTTGTAGATTGGAACACCTTTTTAAGCACGAAGTCCCCAATTTTAAAAAATCTGAGGCGTGCTTTCCTGTTGTAATACCGTTCAATTACTTGCTTTTGTGCTGCCATCCTTATTAATGCGGCTTCTCTTCTTCCTTCGAGCAAATCAAGGTTCACCCGCATCTCTTCATCATTTGAGTCTTCCGTTGCTTGAGCATATCGTGTGCTCGGTTCTCCTATTTCAACTGGGATTAAGGCCTCCGCACCATAAACCATTAAAAATGGTGTTTCTCCCGTGCTTGTTTTTGTCGTTGTACGATAAGCCCATAATACTCCAGGTAATACCTCAGTCCAATTACCTTTTGAATCTTGTAACCTTTTCTTCAAGTTGTTGATAATGACCTTGTTTGTGGATTCCGCTTGTCCATTACCCACTGGATGGTATGGCGTAGATGTTATCCTTTTAATTTGCCAACTTTGAAAAACTTCTGTGATTTGAGCTCCTATGAATTGTGGACCATTATCACACACGATTTCCTTTGGCACTCCAAAGCGGCATATTATGTTCCTCCAATTGAAGTCTTTAACTTCCTTCTCTCGTACCTGTTTAAATGCTCCTGCTTCTACCCATTTAGTGAAATAATCAGTAAGTACAAGTAGAAACTTCACCTGACCTTTTGCTTGTGGTAATGGACCTACGATATCCATTCCCCATTTCATAAAGGGCCACGGAGCTATGACAGGATGCAGTAGCTCAGCTGGTCTATGCATATTATTCCCGTACCTTTGACATTTATCACATTTAGACACAAAACTATTTGCTTCCTCTTCCATCTTAGGCCAATAATACCCTGCTCGAATCAATGTTTTTACCAGCGACCTTCCTCCCGCATGATTTCCACAATGTCCTTCATGTATTTCCCTCATTACGTATTCTGTTTGGGAAGGTCCAAGACACCTTGCTAATGGTCCACCGAACATCTTTCGATAAAGGTTTCCTTGATATAAACAGTAACGAGCAGCCTTTTTACGGAGCGCGTGTGCCTTCCTTTTGTCATCAGGTACGGTTCCGTACTGCAGAAAAGCAACAATCTCGTTTCTCCAATCCCATGTTAAATTATTAAAATTTACCTCATTCTTATCAGGTTCGAGAATGGAATAAAATAAATGTACAACTGAAGCATTTGCATCTTTTGCCACGTCTGCTGCAGATGCGAGATTGGCTAAAGCATCTGCCTCTACATTTTCATCTCTTGGTATTTGCATAACTTTCCACGTCTGAAACTGCTTTATTAATTCTCGTACTTTTTCTAAGTACTCTTGCATTCGTGCTTCCCAGGCTGCG